CCCTCTCTCCCCCTCCCTCACTCTGCTCTAGCCACCTGGGCCTCCTCCTTGCCCCTCCAACATGCGAGGCACGGTCCTGCCCCAGGGCCTTTGAACAGCCTGTGTCCTCTTCCTGGAATGCTCTTCCTCCAGACCTTTGAATGACTGGCTCCTTCTTATTTTCCAGGTTTCAGCTCAAATGCCACCTCCTCAGAGACACCCTTGCTGTTCGTCACTCTGCCCCTCTCAGCCACGTCACCCGTGTCGCCATCTTCAGGGCACTCACTGTACTGGATTCACTTTCTCTCCCTGGATTCCGTCCGAGTCCGTATCCCCACCAGGCTGTGAGCACGACGAGGGCAGGGCCCAGTCAGCCTCGGTCATGGCTGGGTCCCGAGCCCCAGCCCATAGTAGGTGCTCATTACATGTTTGTCAACTTATCAAAGGAGAGCAGGGCCCCACAGCCCCCACTGGGATCAGGGCCACCGGCCACAGTTCCTTGCTTTTTGAAGTAGCTTTTTTCTGGAGTAAGGAAAACAACAGGACTGTGCCTGGCATTTTGCCTGCATCCTCTTGTTTAAATGTTGAAGCCTAAGAGAGACAAAATAGCATGTCTATTTCACTGACAGGGAAACTGAGGCTCAGAGGAGGGCTTGCGTGAGCGGCCTGGAAGGTGGACTGGAAGTCGGGTAGAAGTCTGACCCGACTGCCGCAGCAGTCTCTACCGGCAGTAATTCCGAGTGGCTATTTCAACTGGCTGGGGGCTACTACTCCACAGAAGGAAGAAGGTTCTTCTGAAACTATCGGAAAACACATGGTCTCCCCCTGGTGAACTCCTACACATTCATCACGGTCCTACTTACTGTGTCCCTCCAAAGTGCATCTTCTCTGATCCCCTGGGCAGAGCCTGCTTTCTCCAGTCCCTTTTGCTCACTCGGACCCCATGTAGCCGCGGGCCAATGCCTGCCTTTGTTTCCCTTCCGCCTTGAGAGCCAAACAGAGCTAAAGCCACCCTCTTGGGATCTCAGTGTCATCCAGCATGGGATGCAGTATATGGAGGCCACCAGGGGTACTTACTGAGTGACTGATCTCCCCAGCTGCCTTGGACGAGAGCTCCCCTGAGAATCCACAAACCTTACTGGGCTCCTGCATTTGGGAAGTTCTCTCCTAGATCTGCCCTTGGAATGCTAGCTCAGCCCGGGCCAAGGTGCATCCTGGGAAATGTAGTCCTCACTGGATGGCTTCCCTCCCAGGAGGCCCTGGGGGGTAACCCACCTTGGGACCCTGGGGTCCTAAGACATTGAAAGGTCATTGAGGGTGGCTGGTGGGGGTCCTGTAACTCTTCCCAAAGAAATAGAAGAGGGTCCCGGCCTCCCAAGTCACCCCCTTAGTGTCCCAACGCTTGCCACTTTATCTGGACATCCCCGAAGGACAGGTGACAAATGGTGAGGAAAATAAAAGATAGTTTTGTGGCTCAGGTCCAGACATCTTAGGTCACATATGGAACCCTGGCTCTGGGAAGCCAGGCTTGCACCCCATTCATGATGGTGGGGGTGCCTAGGGTAGGGGTCTGTCCTTTGAGCTCCCTGACCCTGCCGCCAGATCCTACATACTTCAGCAGAACGTGGGGCACGTGGCTGGAGCCTGCGTCCAGGGCTGCCGTGAGCCTCAGTTTCTCTATTTCTGCTAAATGAGGCCCCACCCACAGTCACCCCTAATCACCAAGAGATTTTAGAAGAATCAGCCTGAGAATCTGCAGCTCTTTAAATGACAGGGTTTCATAGTCATGGCATCTTAAACATTCCAGCTCAGAAAACCCATAGTACCTAGAAATTTAAAAGAAATCTGGAGGGTCATTGGAGCCTGACCAATATAAGAGTTCTTTTTCCAGAATTCTGGAAAGATGGCTGCCTGCCCCTCTTGCCTGTCTCCCGGGACAGGTGGCTCACCACCCCTCCAAACTGCTGACGTGGTTTCCAGGAGCCTGTCTCCTGATAGCTACTCTTCCTCACTGTTGCTCAAGGTCCAAAATGTTGCCCATTCACTGCCCTGCTCTAAAACCTCCCATGACTCCCTGATCCCCTTGGGATAAAGCCTGCTCCTCAGCTGGACTGTCACAGCCCCTGCCACCTCTCAGGCCTCATTGTTCATTGTCTCCCACCCTTAAAGCAGCCCAGCCACACAGGACTCCCTCAGCTCTGCACACAGTGGCTATCCTTGCTTCTCCTTCCACCTGGAGTCCCTGCCCCTCTTCTCCCAGCAACATTCTTTTCATCCTTCAAGCCCAGGGCAAGCACCCCCTCCGCCAGGCAGCCTTTCCTGCTTCCACCTGTCATGACCCTGCTGAATCCTCTCTGGGCCCCCATCATCACCTGGCAAAGGGCCAGGCACACAGAAAAGGGCCACACCCCAGGTTCAGCTAGGGACACCCTCCATCCCAGGAGACGGGCAGCAACCGGCGTGTCCTTCAGCCCCTGGGGACCCGGCTCCCCTGTCCCTCTGGCTGACGTCAGGGTCACCTTTCCAAGGACAGTTTGATTCCTATCTTCCAGGTCCAGTCCCAGGTAACCCCAGCAACTCCTTGTCACAAGCCCTGGGTGGCCGCTGCAGATGCCAAACCCTCCTACAGCACAGACCTCCAGCACCTTCTCTGCCTGGTGGACAGAGACAGAAACTGAGGCCAAGAGGGGGAGCAGCACCTCCTGGGTGACTCAGTACCTCTGGGGGCTTAGAGACACCTTCTCACCTCAAAGCAGGGAAGGCAGGGGAGCCTGAGGGCCCCCGGGGAGCTCAGTTCCGGCAGAAGGCAGGTGAGAAGTGGAGGGAGAGAGGAGGTTACAAATCCCAGGCATTACAATGTGACCTCACTCTGCCTCATCTCCCCCGACTCAGCCCCTAAGTGTAAAGAGCGCCTCCTGCGGCATCAAAGCCCCGAGAGGGCGAGGTACCTGTCTAAGGCCACACCGCTCAGTCCCCAGCCTTTCCCTGTAAGTTGATTTTTTTTTTTTTTGAGAGGAGTTGGGGCATTGGAAGCTCCAGGTCTAATTTCTGCACAACTCAGGGTAGACAGAGGAGTGGGTTCCAGGGTAACCTTTTCGAAAGCATTTGGGTTTCATGGGGGGACACCCTTCCCCAGACCCCATCTAGAAGCCCCAGGAGCACAGAGGCTTGCTTGGCTTCCCTCTTTACCCACTCTGTCACCTCCCTGGGCCTCAGTTTCCCAATCTGCTCTTGGGAATGAACTGGTAAAGGGTGGCCACACTATAGTTTAATGAGGTTTCTGGCAGGCTGCAACCTACCCAACATCCAAGGGGTCTCCAGTGGAGCCCACCGACTGACCCCCAGCCACAGTCCTGTAGATCTTGGTTGGAATCTCCTCTCTGGTGAGTCCTAACCCTACCGTGACCCCATCCATCTCCCTACATCCTCTACTTTCTCAAGCCGGTTTCAGCAACTGCCCAGATTCATCTGAAATTTTTACCCGTGAAAGAAACTGTGCCTACTAGGATGTGGGAAAAGGGATGGGGGTGGGGAACTCCTGGGGGAAGGGATATCCTGGGTCACTGAACTTTGATCCTGGACCCCTTGAGAACAGGAGGGAACCCAGAGACATATGAAGAAATGCAATTTTGCAAATGGGGCGGATGTTCCTTCCATAGCCCCAGCCAATGGTTCCTTCCTTCTTCCTCCTCAAATCCAAGTCCAGACCCTCCAAAGCCCACATCCAGTTCCCTTTGGGTCTGAGGGTCAAAGATGCCAACATCAGGGAGAGGATGCCAGATATCCCAGCCAGAGACGGCCTGCCAGGGGCGGAGGTGCGGGAAGTGCCCCAGTCCCAGGGCTCCCTAAAACACTTCCAGCTCTGGTGTCTGCACATCCCAGGCAGGGCCAGGGGTTCTCTGTGGCACCCCTCTCTGGGAGGTGCCCCCAACTGGAGGGCGCCCAGAGGCAGAGAGTGGGACAGAGGGACACGTGACACCTGCCCTGGGGACCAATCAGTGCCTGCAGGAGGGGGCCACACTCGGTGCTCCCCACCCTGCCTGGCACCCTCTGAGAGAGACGCTTTCTTTGTCCCTTTGTCAGCTCTTGGGGGTCCTCGAACCCCTCCGGGGTCCCCACTGCAGCGAGTGGTATCCAGACTGGCTCTCTTCCCCCACTGCAGCCCCTCCCTTGTGGTGGGGCCCTGGACTCCATCTGGGCCAGGCAGGAGGCTGGAGAGGGCTCAGGGGCGTCCAAGGTGCCGCGGTGGCTGACCATGGAGTGGGGTGGAGCGGCCTCACCGTGCTGGGACCACCACCCCAGTCCTGGGTGGCCCTTGACTTAGCCTTCATGGCCCCGCCCCCTCGTACCAGCCCCCATCCCCGGCCAGCAGACCCCCTGCCTACCCTGAACCCCCAACCTGGGCCCAAATCCAGCTCCCCAGCGGCGCAGCCCTGAGCCCCCATTATTGTCTGTTACCGTCCCCCACCCGGACAAAATCTCCACCCGCTGCGGTGCCGACAGAACCCCCATTATACGTCCACATACAGGCCCCCAGTCAACATCCAGCTCCCCCCAGCTGCGGTGCCATTGGACACCCCCATTACGGAGCCTCATTCAAGCGCCCCAGGCCCCAATCCAGCCTCTTCAAGGCGTTGCTACTGGACCCCATTATAACCCTCCATACAGCGACCTACACCTAAAATCTAGACCCCTCCCCAGTTTCGTTGCTGAAAGATCCTCCCGTTATGGTGCTCTGCAAACACCCTCCCGGCTCCAAATCCGTTCCCCTTCCAGTGGTGGGGTCTTCAGCGCCCCCCGCCCCACTAATTATAGCGCCTGACCCGGCCGCCTCAGCCAACAATTCAGACCCCTAGCTGAGTGCCAACAGACACCCCCAGGGAAGCGTCTCCCCAGCCCCCTCTCGCAGACGCCCCGGGGCGCTTACCTCGGAGCCGTGGCCGCCGCGAGTGCGCGGGAGGGAGCGCGAGGGCGGGAGGGCGCAGGCGGGGTGGGGGGGGGCACGGGGGGGGTGCGCGCACCTGTCCTGGCCGGGCCGGCTCAGCCGGGCATCCCGGGTGGGGAGGGGGGCTGGGGGGCGCGCGCTCCCCCGCCCCCGGGCCGCGGCGCTGCGCTGGGGGAGGGGGCTCAGCCCCGGTTCCCCGCGCACTAGCGTCGACTCCTGGGGGGGCGCTGTGCGACGGCCGGACCGGGGACGCGCCGCGGCCCCATTTTTTCCACCCGCCGCGGCGGCCGCTGCGACTCGCGGCTAGCCACCTCCGCCCCCCCCCCCGTCACCCCGCCCCCCCTCGGCCAACTCCCCCCCCCCAACCCGGCCGGAGCCGCGCAAAAAGCGGCCCGGAGTAACGGCTGTGCGGAACGGAGGGCGGAGCCGGGTGGGCGGCCCGCTGCACTGGGGGCGGGGGAGAGGGTGGGAGAAGACCCAAGAGAAGACTCCCTGCTTTTGTCCAGGTGGGGAGCCTCACTGAGCAGCCCCGCAACCCCCGACTTCCTGCTCCAGTCCATCCTGGCCAGATTCACATCCCCAGGATTCATCATCCCCAATCACACTAGTGGATGATGGGGCGGTGTTTGGAACCCCTGTGGTCTACATGGGCCCCTTCATATGAGGTCATTTGTTCAATAGACAAGCATTAAATTTAACTAACGCTCAGCATACATGCGAGGAAACTAAGGCTTCTTGTCCAAAGTCACCCAGTAAGAAGGTGGAGATTTGAACCTGAGCCAGAGGGCTGCAGAGACCATAGGACACAGGCTGTCCTCTGTCCCAGTGTGCTGGGAGGCTGGCACACAAAGGGGGTTCTAGGGGCTGCAGCTCCCCCTGGGCCCATGGAGAGCACGCCTGGCCCCTGCCTTGGGGACTACAGGACAAACTGGTCTTCAGATTCCAGAGACCTTCCTGTCACCTCCCTGACCCTCTGTGACCTGAGGACAGCAGGAGCCCCTCTCAGGGCCTGAGGGTTCCCCTCTGCCCAAAGCACCTCTCTGGTGGGTGTGACCATGTGTGTCCGTCTCACTGGCCCCTCCATCATCTCCATAACAGCAGCACTGGGCACTCGATAAGCAGCTTATTATTAGGTATTTATTTTCCAGCATGTCTTGCACACCTACTGTGTGTTGGGCCACTTCTGAGGCCTTGATGCTTATTTAAGTCACCTTCTTCACTCCTCAGGGCGGTCCCACAAAGCTCCTATAGATGGGAAACTGAAGCACAGAAAAACCAAAGAGTTTGCCCAAGGGCGCAGGTGTTGGGAAGAGAGTGTTAGTCCTCTCGCTGCAGATTATAAAGCACCTTTTATGTGGGTCTTACCCATTGGGACCCATCCATGGACCCCAACATTACTGGGGCTCACACAAGTTGTGTGGCATGAAAACTTGAACCCTGCTCCCTGGGACACCTGGGGTTCTGGGCAACCTGGATTCTTCCAGGGCCCAGGCCTCTGCCCAGGGGCTGTCCCAGTGACCGCAAACCTCCACCAGCAGCCAGGCCTTCCTGCCTGTGGTTCTGCCCGGACCTGATTTCCGGCAGAGCCAGAGTCCTAGGCAAATAGGCCTCCACCTGTGGGCACCCAACCCCGCCCTCTGTATCCTGCCCACCTAGAGAGATGGGGTCTTCCACCAAGGGAGGGGACTAAGCTGGGCTCTGCACCTTCCTCCCACCTCCACAGCATTACCTGGACTGTGCCCATACCCCCTGGCATGCCCATCCTTTCCTGCAACCTATTTCTTCAACGAGCATTTATTGAGCATCTGTCTACTGTGTACCATGCCCTGGGCTGACTAGTCAAGGCAAACCACCTACCTGCCTTCAACCTCACAGAGGAGATAGAGGAGAGAGAGGGACGGGGGCACTGTGACTGGGTGGGGGTTCAGGAGGACCACGAGAGGGTGATTTGGGGGACACAGAAAGACAATAGATGGGTTTGGCAAAGCACATGGAGTGCGGGTTGAGGGGTGGGAAAGGAATACTAGGCAGAGAGACCTGCTTGAACAAAGGCCCTGAGGGAGGCCCCACCCACTCGGGTCATCTCAGCTGCCACCCAGTCTTCAGCGGCCATGAATGGGTCTTTCATGCCCTGGATCAGGGCAAGAGCAGGCCCGGCTGCTCCCTCCCCCTCCCTGGGCTCCTGACTGTCTGATCCCTGACCTGGAGGAGGGTGGCAGGAAGTTCACAGCTTCCCCTCCGGGTAAGCCAAGGAGGCCCAGGCAGGGCCTTGCCAGAGGTCACCAAAGCCAGCAGCACCTTCTTAGTTGCGTGATTTTAAATTTAAGTTCCGCCTCTCTGGCCCTCAGTTTCCCCATCTGAGCTGCTGGTTGAGCAGCACTGCGCTGCCGTCCTGCTCCGACCCGGGAGGAATCCAGTGCGGGTTTTGAGGGCGCCCACGGCCCCTAACACCTTCAGCCCGACGCGGCCGGGCTGCGGCGTGGGGTAGGAGGGGGCCGGGGGAGACCTGGAGGGGACCATAGGGCCTTCGGGGACCCCGAGATGGTATGAGGCTGAAACAGTCCCCGGTGCCTGGCACCAGCGGGGAAGGGAAACCCTGCCCGCTGCCTGCGCGCCACCCATCGGTACTCGCTGTCCCTCTGCTTCGCTGTGTGACTCCCGTCAATCCCTGCCCCTCTCTGGGCACTGCTGGAGCCTGGCTCCTGGGCAGCGGCACTCAAGGTCCCGTCTCCTCTCAGGCAGGTCCCAGCCTCGGTTTCCCCAGCCAGGTGCCGGCAGCCTTTAAACCCAGGTTGGGCATCCTCAATGTTGGGTCGCGCCCCAGGTTCCTGCTGTGGTCCGGGAATCCCCTTGGGGGCTCAGGAAGGACGGCCCCGATTGGCAGATCCATCCTGTGACGTCAGGACCTCCCGACGCCCCCTCCCCCAAAGGCACGTGGGGGCAATCGCGGCAGGGAAGGGGCCGGGGTCCGGGCGGATTTGGGGTGTTCCCCCAGCCTGAGCTGGCAGCTGGGCGGCGCAGACGCAATTCTCCGCGGACAGATTTTTGCCCTAGTCTCAAATCCCCTCCAACCAATCCGCCCCCCCCCCCCCACACCGCCCGCCCTGCGCGCCAGAACGGCAGCTGCTCGAGTGGCAGATGCACCGGCTAAATCCGCCCAGCTGGTCCTTCCACAGAACTAACAGCCTGGAGTCTATGGTCTGTGTTGGGGGGCGGGGTGGAGGGGTAGGTTTGTGTGTGCGTCATAGTCCTTACCCTTCCCTGACCCTGCCCTTTGACCCTTGCCTCTTCACTGGGGAAGGGGGGTTGTCTCTAGGGTTGGCTCCCAAGTTCAAATACCCTTCTGGAGCTCCTGGAGGATTTGGGCGTAACTGGTGCACAGGGACGGTGCGAACCTTTCCAGAGGCTGCACAGCGCCCCTGGGCCTGCTGCCCAGAAAATATCCCATATTGTGCATACATTCATGATTATAATGATGAGCAAACACTTATGGAGCATCTACTGTATGCAGCCCCACGATTCTAGAACAAAGCTGCTGTTATTATCCCATTTTCAGGTGTGAAAACTGAGGCCCAGAGAGAAATGGCTTCACCACTCAGAGTCAGGAAATGGAGCTGTAATGGGAGTCCCATACTCATTTCCGTGGGCTCAGGGACTCTGTATCTTGGAAGTCTTTTAAGGCAAATGACTTGAGAACTGGGCTGAGTGAGTGGGGTCTCAGGGACTTCCTTCATGCCCCCTATCTTCCTCACTGCTTCAGCCCCATTATGGGTGCCACTGTCATCTGGAAGTACTGAGGATCTAGGGAGGCCTCTTCCTCAGGGAGGCAGCATCACTTGGGGATGAGGGAGGTGCAGCTGTTAGGGGTTTGAGGATGTCTCTGAGCCTGTAGTTTTGTACAAGCCTGCCCTACCCCAGGGCCTTTGCACTTGCTGTTCTCTGCCCAGAATGCTCTCCCCACAGATTTCCATGCGGCCCCTCTCTTCCTCCAAGTTGCAGCTCAAATGTCACCTCTGCAGGGAGGCCACCCTGACCTCTGCACCTGCAGCAACACCTACACTCTGCGCCTGCAGCAGCGCCCCATCCTTTTCTCTTATCCTGCTTCGTTTTTGTTTTATATTTCAGAAACAAACATTGTATATTGTCTCTCCCACAGCTCCATTTTGTTCCCTACTGGATTCCCGTTGCCTGGAACAACCTGGCACACAGTAGGTACTCAGTAAATGTTATCCAGGGATCTCAGGGACATGAGCACGAGTGGAGGCTGGAGGGCAGAGGCAGCTGTAGGAAAGGCCATGTGGTAGTTCTGTCTCCTGCGTGTGTCTAGGAGCCTAGGCTGGGCCCCTGTCCTGTGCCCCCTTCATCTGGAAATCTCTCCAGGGCCCACCTGCTCTCACACTTCCCCCATCACTCTGCTTCAGCCACACAGACCCCTGCCTCCTCTCTGTTCCTCAGTCCAGCCTTGGGGTCTTTGCACTGGCTGCCCCTCTTGCTCTGGCAGATGCCTGTGCTTGGCTACTGTTCCTTTCTCCAAGAGGCCTTTTCTGACCATTCCAAGTGAAGGGAAGGGCAGTTCTTTGTCACCCCAGTTTTTTCTTCTAAGATTACCTTTAAAATAAAAGAATTTACTTATTTATTTTCAGAGGGGGCAGAAAGGGAGGGAGGGAGGGAAGGAGAGAAACATCAATGGGTTGCCTCTTGCACACCCCCAGCCAGGGACCTGGCCTGTAACCCAGTCATGTGCCCTGACCTGGAATGGAACTGGTGACCTTTCGATCTGCAGGATGAGGCCCAACCCACTGAGCCACACCAGGCAGGACTCGGATTGTCTTCTTAATTCATTTTTGGATCAGTGATGGAGTGGTGAGCTACCTCTCATTAGAGGCAAGCAAGCAGGTGGTGGAAGAGGTGTGCCCTCTGCAGGCTGGGCTCCAAACCTCAGCCGTGCCACGCTCCAGCTGGAGCAAATCGCTTAATGCGAGGATGTTTCAAAAGATGCCAGGGCCTGGCACATAGTAGGTGCTTAATAAAGATGGGTTTCCTTCTCACTTCCTTCAAGGTTCTGAGGTTCCACATTTCTTCCTCATCCTTCCTTGGAATTTGTGAGGGGCTTTGACACCCTGGACATTGTTTAGGGCGTTGTCAACAGAGAAGCAAAAACAGACAATTGGAATAGACGCTTGTGTGTCGGGAACAGATCTTCGCACACCTCTGTTCATATCAGCATCATCCACAACAGCCAAAAGGTGGAAACGGCCCAAGTGTCCATGGACCGATGATGGATAAACACAATGTGGTCCACCCAGACAA